TTCCATTAACATGTTTGTACATATTTTATTATCTTTATTTGTAGGTGACATATAGTTTTGTTGCTATTATGGATGACATCTTATCACCACCATCATTATAATAATCAATCACTAGTGTAATATTATTACATATTCTGATTGATTTACTAATTGTCACATTACCACCAATTCGAAGTTTGTGTAGTCTCTTATATTTTCTAAGTAACAATTATGTTGTCTGTGAATAATTGTTTTTCTTTTCTAATTTTATTGGAGGTTTGATGGGGTAATGATATTTATTTTTTAACTCTTTATCTCTAATTTTCAAATTTTTAAAAATCAACTCTGAGGTATAATTTTTATAAAATAAAATCCACTCATATAAAGTATACAGTTTAATGAGTTTTCCATTTTATCCATGATTTTTGATAAAAACCATCAAAATCAAGCTATAGAACATACACATTAACTCAAAAATCTTTCTTAGGCTTTTCTTTTTTTTTGAGATGGAGTCTCGCTGTGTCACCCAGGCTGGAGTGCAGTGGTGCGATCTGGGCTCACTGCAAGCTCCGCCTCCCGGGTTCGCACCATTCTCCTGCCTCAGCCTCCCAAGTAGCTGGGACTACAGGTGCCCGCCACCACGCCCGGCTATTTTTTTTTTTTCTTTTTTGTATTTTTAGTAGAGACGGGGTTTCACCGTGTTAACCAGGATGGTCTCTATCTCCTGACCTCGTGATCCGCCCGCCTCGGCCTCCCAAAGTGCTGGGATTACAGGCGTGAGCCACTGCGCCCGGCCCTTTCTTAGGTTTTTCTAAATTCCCTCTCCCCCAGTCTCAGGCAACCACTGATAGATCTATTTTTACTTGCTATAATTTTGTGTTTTCTAGAATTTCTTATACATGGAATCATCTATTATGCAGGAATCATATATTTATAGTCTTTTACAGCTCACTTATTTCCTTTAGCATGATATTTTTTATATTTACCCATATTATTTCACTTACCAATATGTCATATTTTATTGCTGAGTACTAGTCTATTGTATATCTATACCAAAATTCCATTTATACAAATCGATGAACTTTGAGTTGTTTCCAGATTTGGGCTATCACAAATATTTTTAATGTCTTTTGTGAGGAAACACACTTTCGTTTTTATTTTGAGACGGAGTCTCGTTCTGTCGCCAGGCTGGAGTGCAGTGATGCAATCTCGGCTCACTGCAACCTCCTCCTCCCGGGTTGAAGCTATTCCCCTGCCTCAGCCTCTGGAGTAGCTGGGATTACAGGCGTGCACCACCCTACCCGGCTAATTTTTTGTATTTTTAGTAGACTGAGTTTTACCATGTTGGCCAGGATAGTCTTGCTCTCCTAACATGGTGATCCGCCCGCCTCAGTCTCCCAAAGTGCTGGGATTACAGGCTAAGCCACCGTGCCGGGCCACGAAATGCACTTTTTTGATAATGCCTAGGAGTGAAATTGATATGTGAAATAGTAAGTGTGTGTATAACTCTATAAGAAACAGCCAGAATGGTCTTTCAGAGTGGTTGTATAATTTCACACTCCCATCAACGATACGTCAGAGTTCCAGTTGCTCTGCATCTCCACTGAAATTTTATGTTGTTAGGTGTTGCATTTTAACTGATGTAATGATGATATCTCATTGTGATTTTAATTTGCATTTCTCAGATGATTAATTATGTTAAGCATTTTTATGAATTGGCCATCTTATATCATCTCTTGTGAATTGTTCGTTCAAATATCTCCCTTTTTTTGTTTGACTTCTTAATGCTCTTACATGTCCGTTTTATATAGTTTATTATTTATGTTTATTTATATGATATATTTCAAGTTAGTTTTGGTGAATTGTATGAGTAATCAAAATTTATTGTTCTTGTTGTTTTTAATATGAATATCCTGTTTGTTGTTTCAGAATCACGTTTTTAAAAGACTATATCTTTTTTATGGTTGCATAGTGTTCAAAATGAACAGGATATAACCCCAGAGTACTCAGTGTATGAAAAAACACAAAAATCTCAACTGATGATGAATTCTCCCAGGTTTTGTGTGTCTGAAAAAGTTTTTATTTGCCTTTTTTTAAAATGATATTTTCATTGCATATTTTATTCTGGCCTCGCACCTTAAAGATGTTGTTCCATTGGTTTCTGGTTTGCATTACTTATGACAGGAAGCCTGTTTTTTTTTTTTAAATATATTTCTTGCTCTTTACATACTGTGTCTTTTTTCCTCTGGCTACATTTTAGATAGCTAGTTTTTAGCAATCTGATTATGCTGTGTATGTGTTTTTTGTGTGGAAGGATGTTGGTGGGTGTGTGTGTGTGTGTGTGTGTATGTCCATCCTGCTGGTGGTTCATTGAGTTTCTTGAAACTAGGTTTATAGTTTTCATAAAATTAGAAAAATTTTAGTCATTGCCCTCGTTTCATCAAATTTAAAATTTTTCAGTCATTATTCTATACCCTACTGTCTCCCAATATACATACTTAATACATTCTATATTTGACTGAGACTCTGATTTTGAGGGGTGTTTTGTTTCTCTGTATGCATCCATTTTGATAAAATCTGCTATGTGTTTATATTTATGAATTTTTTCTTCTACTTGCAATCCCATCTATTGAAATATTATTTTCTATTGTATTTTTTCATCTTTAAAATTTCCATTTGGTTATACTTTTTAAATATTCTATTTCTCCCCTTGTTATGTTAATGCTTCTTATATCCTTTAGGTAGTTTTAATAGCTCTTTTACGATTCTTGTCTGCTAGTTCCATTACTCTGTTATTTATGGGTCTGTTTCTATTGAGTGATTTTTCTCCTGATCATTGGTCATGTTTTCCTGCTTCTTTGTATGTCTAGTATTTTTTCAATTGGATAATGAATATTGTAAATTTTATATTTTAGAGTGCTTGGGTTTATGATGTTTCTTTAGATTCCTGGGACTTTCTCTGGCAGGCAATTTATTACTTAAATATTACTTTCATTTTTTCCAAGATTTGTTTTTAAGCTTATTTCAGGCTTAAAGTAGCCAATATTTTTCTGGGGCTAATTTTGCTGCACTTCTAAGTCCTGGCCTTTCTTGATTCTCTATTGAATTTCCTCAGCATAGAAAATCATCTCTTTACTCTAGCTGAGAAAGCTCAATTTCCAACCCTGTGTGAGCTTTAGGAATAGTTCAGTATATAGGCCCCAGTTATTATTCTTTCCCAATATATGAGTTGTCTGTTACAGCATAACAATATTTCCACAAACTTAGTAGCTCAAAACACATTTATTATCTTGGTTTCTGTGGGTCAGAAGTTTGAGTACAACTTAGCTAGGTCCTCTGCAAGACAGCAGTCAAGATGTCAGACAGGAGTGTGGTCTCATCTGAGGAAAAATCCCCTTGCAAACTCACATGGCCTTTAGCAGCATTCAGTTCCTTGCAAGTGGCCAGACCAGTGATCATAGTTGCTCACTAGCTATCAGCCAGAGGTTATCTCCCAGTCCCTGTTGCATCACCAGTAGGCAGTTCACAATATGGCAGCTTGCTTCTTCAAAGCCAGCAAGGTAGAGACTGCATGGTCTCTACCATGGTTTCTCATGGTGTTTTTGATTTGCATATCTCTAATGATTAGTAATGGTCATGTACATGATTCAATGTATATGATTAGATTACATAAGATTGTAGTGCCCAGTCTCATTCTTTTGCATGTGGATATCCAGCTTCCCAACACTGAATGTTGAAAAGACTATTCTTTCCCCATTAAATAGTCTTAACACCTTTGTCAAAAATTATTTGAACATATATGCAAGGGTTTATTTCTGGGCTGTTTATATTCTATTCCATTGGTTTACATGTCTGTCATTATGCCAGTACCACATTGTTTCGACTCCTATACCTTTGCAGCTTTGAAATTTAAAAATGTGAGACCTCCAGCTTTGTTTTTCAAGATTGGTTTGGCTATTTGGCATCTCTTGATATCCCATACCAAATTGGAAAGAATGTTTCTATTTCTTACAAAAAACTATTGGGATTTTGATTAGAATTTTTAAAAATCTATAAATCACTTAGGGTAGTATTGATCTCATAAAAATGTTAAGCCCTCCAATTCATGAGCAAAGGCCATCTTCCCACTTGTATTTTCTTTAGTTTCTTTCAGCTACATTTTGTAGATTTCCTAGTTTAAGTTTATTCTAAGTATTCTTTTTGATGCTATTACAAACAGAATTGTTTTCTTAATTGCCTTTTTGGATTGTGTCTAGAAATCAACTGAATTTTGTGTTGATACTCTATCCTGCAACTTTGCTGAATTCACTTATTCTGATAGGGTTTTTAATGGAATCTTTAGGGTTTTCTACATACACGATCATGTCATCTATAAATGGAGATAATTTTACTTCAACCTTTCCAATTGGATGCCACTTATTTATTTATGCTTATTTGCTCTGTCTAGGATTTTCACACTATGTTAAATAGAAGTGGCAAAGCAGACATCCTTGTCTTGTTAATCTTAAGGAAAAAGTTTTCAGTATTTTACCATTGAGCATGATATTAGCTGTTTTTAAATATATGGCCTTCTTATGTTTGGTTGGTTTCTCTCTATTCATTAGTTTCCTTTCTATATGGTAGTTTGCTACTTTCTCTAAACATTTAGTATTTTTTTTTTTTATCATGAAAGGGTGTTGAATTTTGTGAAATGCTTTTTCTGCATCAATCAAGATGATCATATGGGTTTTTTCTTCATTTTGCTAATGTGGTATATTATAGTGACTGATTTTCATATATTTGATTATCCTTGCATTTCAGGAATAATCTCAATTGGACAAGTCATACAATTCTTTTGGTATGCTGTTGAATTCTCTTTGCTAGTATTTTATTGAGGATTTTTGCGCCAGTATTGTGAAGCAAATAACGTCTGTTGCCTATCACCATGAGTAGCAGTTTTAGGACATCAAACTCCTGGATGGTTTGCATGTATCTTCCAACTTGCAAGAAAATTGCCAAGAAAGGCACAGTTTACACAGGCATTGGATGGAGCAATGCTTTACTTACGTAAAGAACAGGCAGAAAAATATCAGCTTAAATGGCAAGCAAGGGTCCTTCATGGCCAACAGATTTTGCCTCACAACTAATGCAAGGAAACTGTCTACTGCAAGCGAAGAATCTTGACCTCTTCCCCATGGGGTCTGAAATATAAAAAGTGAGGGGTGAGCCTGGGCTCCAGTGACACACATGCTTAAGCAGAACAAAGGAGTATACACCAATCCTGCAACAGGGAAAGATATTCCCAAACACCCAAATAATGCCCAGCACAAGCTGCAAGGGCTCCTTATTTTCCTATAAGGAAATGTTCCAGGCTCACAGCCAGTCTTATGTGACTATGCAGAGGACAAGAATCCGTGCATGACTGCCTTTTCCCACAATTTTCCATCAGGGATAGTGGTCTGTAGTTTCCTTTTCTTGTAATGTCTTTGTATCAGGGTAATGCTGGCCTCGTAGAATACATTTGGAAGTGTATTCTATTCTATTTTTTGAAAGAGTTTGAGAATCATTGGTGTTACGTAGTCTTTACACTGTGTTTGATAGATTAACCAATCATGCCACCTGGGTTTAAGCTTTTCTTCGTTGAGAGATGTTTGATTACGGATTTAATCTGCACACTAGTTATAGGTCTGTTCATATTTTCTTTAATGATTCAGTCTTGGTAGGTAGTGTTTTTCTCAGAATTTATCCATTTTATCTAAGTTATCAGGTTTGTTGGTATACCATGTTCTTAGTACTTTCTTGTAATCTTTTTTATTTCTGTTAAGTTGGTTGTAGTGTCCCCTTGTTCTTTTCTAATTTCATTATTTGACTCTTTCTTTCTTTGTTAATCAATGTAGCTAAAGACTTGTCAATTTTGTCAGTCTTTTGAAGAACCAGCTTTTAGTGTTGTTGATTCACCTATCTTTCTGTTATCTGTTTTGTTTCTCTGCCTTAAGCTTTATCGTTTTTTTCCTTTTACCAGTTTTGAGTTTAGTTTGTTCTTTCTCTAGCTCCTTAAGGTATACATTTAGGTTGTCAATTTGAGATATTTTTAATGCAAGCATTTATAGCCATAAATTTCCCTCTTAGCACTACTTTCACTGCATCTCGTAAGTTTTAGTATGTTATGTTTTCATTTTTATTTGTCTCAATATATTTTCTAATTTCTTTTGTGATTTCTTGACACGTTGGTTGCTTAAGAGTGTGTTAATTAATTTCCACATATTTTTAAGTTTTCCATTTTTCCTTCTTGCTATAATTTTTAGTTTTATCCCATTGTGATTGGAAAAGATATTTTGTATTATTTCAATATTTTAACATTCATTAAGACTTGATTTGTGTCCCAAAATATAGTTGGTCCTGGAGAATGTTACATGTATACTTGAGAAAAATGTGTATTCGGCTGTTGGGTGGAGTGTTCTGTTTATTTTTCTTAGGCCCAATTAGTCTAGTGTTTTTCAATTCCTCAATTTCCTTATTGATTTTCTCTCTGGTCCTTCTATTCATTATTGAAAGTTGGTCACTGACATCTTCTACTATAATTATAGGAAGACCTGTTTTTAATTCTGTCAGTGTTTGCTTCATGCAGTTAGGAGCTCTTATGTTTGGTGCTTATATGTTCATAACTGTTAAATCTTCTAGTAAATTGACCTTTTTATTATTATACACTCTCCTTTCCTGTCTCTCCTCACAGTTTTTAACTTATTCTGTCTGATAGTAGTATAGCCACTTCTCTTTTAGTTACTCTTTGCATGAACTATCTTATTATCATCCTTTCACTTTCAATCTGTGCATGTCCTTAAATCTAAAGCGAGTCTCTTGTAGAAAACAAATAATTGGATTGTTTTTTCAATCCATTCTGCCAATCTAATGTCTTTGGGAAGTTTAATCCATTTACATTTAAAATACTGATAGGAGAGAGCTTTCTATGTCATTTTGTTGTTTTCTGTGTATTTTACATTTTTACACCTCGTTTCCGTCCTTATTTATTTCCTTCGTGTTTAGTTGATCTCTTTGTAGTGACCAGAGACAAATTATACAATAAACGCATTATACTTTATTAAGAAATCTCTGCCTGTAGTCTCTTGCCCCAAGTGAGTCTGTAGATAATATTTAATAATCTAATGTATAATTTAAAATATTTCTTTTATTTTATGCTCTAATTAGCAGAAAATTGAAGACATTTTGACTCCCTTCTCATTTCCTTTTGAGTACCTTCTGTAGATATTTTATTTGAGATTTAATCATGGATTATTATATACAATATCCCAAAGTTATAACAATCTGTTTTAAACTGATACCAACTTAATGGTTGTAAACAACAGCTGTACTCTTTTACAGCTCTACTCCACTTTTGTTATTGATGTTACAAATTACAATTTCATATATTGTATACCTATTAACAGAGATTTATAATTATTTTTTATTCTCTTGTCTTCTCTGGTCTTTTTTGGGCATGTATCTTCCCTGAGCCTGTGCACGTGCTTTTTTCTTAATTCCCCCCATTATACACAGCTGTTTTTAAATGTCTTAATTTCCCTATGAGTTTCACCCCTGCATTTTCTCAAGGACTTATATGTTCTACTGTATTTCTCTGTCTGTAGTCTTTTGTTCCAGGTAAATTTGCAGATAATGTTGAAAACTTTAATGTCTGATAATTTAAATTTTTTATTTTATGCCATAATTAGCACAGTACAAATTGTATTATATGATAAATCAAGATTTATTTATTATGTAATTTGTTTCTTGTCACTTCTCTTTGACTTCAAAGTCCATGTTCTTTCTGTTACATCTCATACATGTAGATTTCAATCATGAAAAATAAATGACAAGATCTGAAGGGAATGTAAAAGTTATAGTAGCTGCCATGTTAGGATGATTGAATTATGAGTGATTTTTTTTTCCCCCTTCAAAGAGTTTGCCTAAGATTTTTTTATAACAAAAGCAATAAATTATACAATTTTAAACTCAGAAATGCAGATAAATAGCACAGTAGAGTGGATTGCATTGTTATTTTAAAAATGAATATTATTTTAAAAGATGTTTTACATATTTATATTTTCCTTTCCTCATTTTAAAGCTTTCCTATAGGTAGAGATGATAAATAAATGACCATTTCAAAATCTTATCCTTATTCAAAAGAACAATTTTCAAAGGGGAAGTGAATTTTTCACCCTCAAAATGTGCTATAAAAATCGAAGATAATTCGAATGTTTGTAATTTAAAGTACATTTTTTCCTTGAAAGCAGTGATAATTTTAGAAATCTTTAATTTTACTTTCTGGTTTTAAGATCAGATTCTAAAAGGAGGCATGTGTTTTGGTTTTGGTTTTTTTTTTTTTGGTTGTTGTTGTTGTTGGTTTTTTTTTTTTTTTCTGAGACTGAGTCTTGCTCTGTCACCCAGGCTGGAGTGCAGTGGCACGATCTTGGCTCACTGCAACCAAAGAGGCATGTTTTTAGGTATTAATAAAAAGAAGGTGTTATGGGAAAAATTCACCATATGATTATTTACATTTTATTTCCTGTCTGTAATTTCTTCTTATGAAAGAGAATCAGCACATCATTTACTCACTCTTAATATCAATTTGGATTCTCCATGGTTTTCCTGGATTGCTCTTCTATTTAATATAATAACCAGCTTCTTGCAAAAAATGGAAACAAACTAAGTAAGAACACATCTGAAACAGAGGGTGTAGAAGAAAAAAGAAGCCAGAGCTTGGAATACAATACTTGTAATAGTTTTCATTCATCAGGACTGCAGAATGTTTCCACAAAGCCTTTTCAAATGTTTCAGAAGAGAAAGGAGGAACAGAAAAATGATCAGATGTTTCTCAGTAAACCTCTTATATGGGTTATAGTTCCACATTAAATTTGTTAATTTTGTCACTTAAAAATAATTTTAAAATATAATGCAAGTCTCAACTTTACTTATTAATCCTCCCCACATCAGCCTCACCCCATATTTGGATGCAGACTGGCATTTTTATTCAATAGCAGCTTATTCTGAAAGCTGTGTTTCCATTTTTCCCCCACCATGTACTTCAGTAAAGGTAGAAATACACATGTACAAATCTGTGGAGTTATTTTCATTTGGATATATTTTTTATACACATTATTTCTGATTATCAATCTAATTTTCCTTTTTTTTTTTTTTTTTGAGACGGAGTCTCACTCTGTCGCCCAGGCTCGAGTGCAGTGGCATGATCTCGGCTCACTGCAAGCTCTGCCTCCCAGGTTCACGCCATTCTCCTGCCTCAGCCTCCCAAGTAGCTGGGACTACAGGCACCTGCCACCATGCCTGGCTAATTTTTTTGTATGTTTAGTAGAGATGGGGTTTCACCATGTTAGCCAGGATGGTCTTGATCTCCTGACCTCATGATCTGCCCGCCTCGGCCTCCCAAAGTACTGAGATTACAGGCATGAGCCACCGCACCTGACCTCAATCTAATTTTCTTAAAATTGTATGCATTTTTTTTTTAGCTCTCTCATATTAACTCAAAAAGTATGGCCTGAGGGATTTGTTGTTTCAGTAACTATGGTCCCTATATCATAGTAGCATCTTTTTTGGGAGAAATTAGGAAACTTAGCCTTTCATCTTATTCAATGTGATGTTTTAAAAAAATTCAAAGTATGAATTCTCTAAATATATACATAGATGCAAACATGGATATAGTTATAGATATGGATGGAAGAACAGGTAGATATAAATGTGTGTGTCTACAGTAATGGATAAATATGAGAGCCAGAGAGCCTCTATGTATCTTATAAAAAGACCCTTGTTTCCTTCAGCAGAAGGGCATAGCTGAGCAAGAGACTGAAAACCTAGTTCTTAGAGTCACAGTGCTCTAGTGACCTTTGAATACTCAAGGCAGATGCATTATGAAAATCCAGGGCCCTAGTGGGCTTCCTGAAACATGAGATTGGAGAAATCTGGATGGATACTCCTAAGGATGTTGACTCTGCATCTTCTACCTCTGGACCCTCTAGCCTTGGAAAGGTGGCCCATGTTTCCCTAATAAGAGCATGTGCTTCTGTTGTGTTACCGTGTTACATCCTCACCTCCTCTCCTGGTTGCCAGACCAATAACTAGAGCTAAATCCCTACACAAACTGTCAAGAAACATGCTGGGTGGGATTAAGGAAAAAAGATACTATGTAATGAGTAATTACAAGAATTCATTGGCCTGTAACTGGGATTGGATTTTGAGGCTACTTGATCAAGGTGCACAAAATATAAAACTGGTCTTGCAAGAAATCACTGGCTTGGTTGCACTTGCTTATGGACGGGATTTAACACCCTGAAAAAGGACTCTAGGGGAAGGGAAAATGTGCTGCTGGCGTGGTTCTTGGAAGCATGGAAAAGTAATGGGAAGCACTGAATGAAATGGGAATTCCCGAGTTGGCCCACCAGATGGTAGGGGGAGGTACAAGAAGGAATGAAGAGGCTGAAGGAAGTGGGCATGCTGGAAGACATATATAAGGCAAGAGACCAACCAGAAATTATGCTCCATGTTCATTACTGGGCACACCAGATTTCCTCTATACTACTTTATATTCCCATTATCTAGCACTAACTACATTTCTCTGACAGTCATGAGCAATCACATAAAACAACAGCATGGCTTCCTTTTTTGCCTTTTACCTCAGTGAAATGTGGACCTCAAAAGCATCAGATGACTGTCTCTACTTCCAGTTTAGTGGAACCATTCTTGTCCTCTAGAAGGGAGCATTCCTCCTCGGATAATAAAATCTGTATCCCATCACAGGCAGGAATATGGGCATGTCATGTAAAAAAAAAAAAAAAAATTGTGAGTGGATCCTTCCATGTCATTTTGAGAAATGTCACCACCATTCCACAGATCTCAGTCTTCAGTCTGTGAGAGAAAGAACAGTGTTAGGTTTTGAATTAAGGACATACACCACATTGGCAGGAAAACATGCTGACTTTGCAGTGTTTGTTGCCAGCTAGTGTCATAATTTCGCCTTCCATAGATGTTACGTATTTCTTTTTCTTTTTCTCTTTTGAGATGGAGTCTCACTCTGTTGCCCAGGCTGGTATCTGTGCACCTTCTTTGACACACAGTGGAGGTGGGGTAGAGAGAAAAACTGGATTCTTTTTCCTGAAGTACAGCAAATAGGAAATGTCAAGAGTGGGTCATAAAATGGACCCAAGTCAGCGATGACTTGGATCAGGTGCCAGTGACAATGGGTCTTTACATGATATTTTGTAGTCTCCTTATTGGAACACTTACCAGAACAAATGGATCTTATTTTAATGAAAATATTGTTTGTCACCATAATCGACAATGCCTGCTGGCATGTGGGAAGGGTACATAATGAAGTTTTAGAGTTCTGCATACAAAGATGGTAATACAGGATAGAGGAAATATTTCTTTATACAAGTACAAAGGGAGGGACACACAGACGCTTCCAACTAAATCAATTTTAAAAATAAGCCATCAAGCCACAGAAAGACAGAGAAGAGCCTTAAATGTACATTGCTAAATAAAAGAAGCCAATTTTAAAAGGCTACATACTATATGATTCCAACTATATGACATTCTGGAAAAGGCAAAACTATAGAGATAGAAAAAAATCAGTGGTTGCCAGAGGTTCTGGGCAAGGAAGAAGATGACTGGGTGGAGCACAGGAGAATTTTAGAACAGTGAAACTATTCTGTATGATATTGCAATGTTAGATACATAATGTTAGGCCCTTGTCAAAACCCATAGAACTGTACAACACGAAGAGTGAAACTTCATGTAAACTATGGACTCCAATTGATCATAATGTATCAATGAGTTATTAAAATCTTGCATTAGTGTGGGTGAGGGCTGCATTAGTTGAGAGTGGGGCAGGGGGAGAAGGAGTATGTGGGAATGCTCTCTTTTAAATTCCTTTTTCTGTAAACCTAAAACTACTCTAAAACAGTCTATTGACTTTTTAAAAACTGAATTGGTATTTCTGAGATAAGTTTGGTATAAGAAAAAAATGATTAGGATTCCAGAGAAAATGGAATTTTCTTTAAGATAGAAATTTTCTTTTTTGTAAGATAGAAATCTGGTTTCAATATTTTTGTCAAGATCAGAAGAAACTTTGCATCTTGTCTCCCATAAATATTAGTTTTATGTATTTGTCATGTACTCATTATGTATTTGAGTTTTATATATTTGTCATGCTGACTTTTTTTCTGACTCTTCTTTTTGCACTATTATAAAATAAGACTTTTTTTCCCTTCTATAATAGGCTTTCAAGATGTAATTCATTAGTATAAAAGGATTATGGGTGGGATTTTTTTGTTTGTTTTAGAATGGACTTTAAAACAGGTTCATCCTTAAACTAACAGACCTTTCCAGGCTGCAGAGGCATCCAGATATCTTCACTTGAACAACCATCTTTAGATGTTCCACCTGAAATCTTCTTCTAAACCCCCAGTCTTTAACTTAGAGTATTGCAGTTGCCTCCTGGCTGGTTTTCCTGTTTGGCCCTGTTCCACACTTGCCACCTGTTCTTACCAGAGCAACCAGATGGGTTTCAGTAAAGTCAAATCATGCCATGACTCTACCAGAAATCCTGGAAGGAGTCCCGTCTAGTCTGCTCCAGTCACACTAGCATTTTTGCTGTCCCTTGACTTTGCCTTTGCTGGTCCCTCTACCTGGAGTGCTCTTCTCCCAAATATACCTCTGGTTTGCTCCCTCACTTGCTTCAAGTGTTTCCTTAAACGTCACTTGTTCAATTTGTCCTGCATTAACCACTGTATTTCAAATGTTTGCCTTCTTTCCCATTTTTGATCTGTAGCACTTATCTTCTATACTATTTTGTTTATTCATTTATCTATTGTGTGTACTCTCTGTCTCTTTTCCCTAAACCATAAACCATGTGGGCAGGGATTTTGTCTGCTTTGTTTACTGCTGTATTCTCAACACTTAAAATCTACCTGGAATGTAGTAGATGCTCAATACGTGTTTATTGAACACATAGAATAAAAAAGGATGTCCTCTAAGAGCAAACTTCTTCTTGAGGTTTCTGTAGCAACACCCATAATAAATCTGGGACACTTTCTGGAGCAATTTACTTTCACATGGTCTTCATAGACATGGACCTATTTTTAATCCCACTTTCTAATGGAAATGGCTCGAAATATTTACTGCACAGCTGTAGAATGTAAGGAATATCAGATGTGGCCTGTGATTTCTGTTGAATAATTTTTGAGGACTCATAGGGTAGATGTCATAATTATGTAAATAATACTTTTATTCCAAGAGCAATTGTTAAATTTAACACTCTTTCCACGTTTTTATTTGTGGTAATGGTGTCCAACTTTCTTGAAGTGGTATTTTCAGATTCATATACTTGTTGCATATTTTCCATACCAGCTTTATGGTTTAATGTCCTCCAAAGTAATAGATCAAAAGGTATATATTTATTACCTTTTTAAAATCAAAGAATGATTGTGCATCTGCAATGTTATTTAATAGATAAGCAGAGAGGAGCTTTAACCATCCAACTGGTTCAAACAGTAACCACCTCAATCAGTTGAGTTCATACTGACATCTGGAGGCCAAGCCTTGGCACTACATAAGGGCTATTACCCATTTCAGAGCTCATCAGAGTAATTAGTGCCTCTAAACTTCTTTAAGTAAAAATCTGAAATGTCTAAAAACATCAAAAAGTAGTTTAAAAAAGAAGTTTGAACTTTTTACCTTCTACGTATAGCTCTGTTTCTGAAAATTTGAGTCTGCATTTGGGAAAAGAATAACAGCGATAATGAGGAACATCTGAGTGCCCGGTAGATGCCAGGCAGCACAGGAGTGCTCTCATTGCGGCAACCCATTCAATCTTCAGACCACCCTGTGAGATAAGGACTATTATTATCCCCATTCTGCAGTTGAAATCAAGGCTCAGAGGGATTAGTAATTTCTTCGTGTCACTTAACTAGTCTTGGTGCAGCAGAACTTGAACCCATATTCATGTGACCAAATCCCCAGGTCCGGCACTCTTGGAGATGGACCAGTTTACACTGTTACAGAGATTCTTCAACAAGGATTGTGCTAAAAAGCATAGTTATCTTTAAAGTTGCAATTATTGGCCGGGCGCAGTGGCTCATGCCTATAATCTCAGCACTTTGGGAGGCCAAGGTGGGCAAATTGCTTGAGCCCAGGAGTTCAAGACCAGCCTAGGCAACATGGGGAAACCCTCTCTCTACCAAAAAACACAAAAATTAGCTGGGCGTGGTGGTGCATGCCTGTGGTCGCAGTTACTTGGGAGGCTGAGGTAGGGGGATCACTTGAGCCCAGGAGGCAGAGGTTGCAGTGAGCCAAGACCGCACCAGGCACTCCATCCTGGGTGACAGAGTGAGGCCCTGTCTCAAAATAAATAAAAAAGATAAAATAGCAGTTATGTTGCACTGTATTTTTGTCAAAGGACATTCCTGTGAAGAATAAGCATTCTGGATCATTCCTACAAGGAGCCAAGGTATATAACTTCCTAAGTCATAAACACTCAAAATAGACTGTCAAAAATGTTACCTAGAAGGAGGCTCAGTGGAAGGAGACAGGAGTGTCTCAGAAACCATCATTTCCCAAAACGAAGTCTAAGGTCTACTTTTTTGATACCTAATCTTTGTACATATTAATGGGGTATGTGTGAAATTTTGTTACACTCCTAGAACGTGTAAGCCAGGTATTTAGGATATCCATTGCCTCCAACGTCTATTTTTGAAGTGCTTTCTTGGGCTAAAGGAGTTGGGACCATCCCTATCCTAGTGGAGACCTGAAGGGCTATTTATACGAGGCCCGTACTCGTGAAAGGGCTCAAATGTAGATCTTCAAATGGGGTATACTGATGACACTGAAAGATGTCGTATAGTTTTAAGCTTATGTTCCATTAACTGTCCACCTCCATTATGCGGAGCAATGACTTTTATGAATGTTGTTATTATCTTTTAAATAACAGAGTTATATTGCACTTTTTTTTTTCTGTCTAAGTATTAATTTGTTACGTGTATTCATGCTATACTTCAACTATTATAAGTCTATTTTAGCACCCAAAAAAATTTTAGTAAGCTAAGAGCCTCCAAAGATGGAAGGATCCCAGGTCTTTGTAGCCCTTTTAAATGCCCAAGTGGACAGCTCTGTACCTTCCACAAATGTGCTTGGAACATTTAGCCAAGAAAATGTTAATCTGTGCTTTAAGGACTCTCTTCTCAAACTCAGCCTTCTCTTCTAGGAAGTAGTTCCACTAAATTATCGTCAGGCCTTTGTTGGTAAGTCAAACCACTCAAAAGTTATGGGTTACAGATAATATCTAAGAAACTAGAAAAAGATACTTTGCTTTTGGAAGGTGGATGATTAAGTAATGAACTTCACCCAGAGCATTTTGGCTAGTGTAGTTCCTGTACTTGGCTAAAGGGACTTAGCTGACTTCAGTGTTTCTCGATGATTTAATACTCCTAATAATGAGGGCATGCTTACTGTAGAAAGGGAAAAAATGATTTTTTTTATATTAAGGTGGTGACAACAGACATCTCAAAAAAGGGAACATTCATGTATTTTTCAATCAAAATTCACTGTAGGACTGGCAAATGTCAGTAGGCACAATGTTTTGTCTCCTCCTGTTTCTAGCCATATGCCCAGAGATCATAAATGATGAGGGTACTTCTTACACTTCATCCCTCCAAGTTTTCCTTCATTACAAACTTGTCAACTCAATCTGTTGATGATAGCAGTCTGGCAAGAGCCAGTATCTGTC